ATGCTGCAGATGCACCAATGCAAAGCAAAACCCTCCACGTGGCCTTTCGATTATAACATCTTTCCAACGCAGCTGCTTTGAAAATGCACCATCAATGCCTGGGTGTGATTTTCTGCCGTGATTCGGAGGCTGGAGGGAGCACGGGAGCATGGCTAATGGAAGTGATGCTTAAGCCCTTCAGGGTGTTAATGATGGTAATGGGTATGAACAGGCTGTGCAGGGACGGGAGCAAAAGGCAGCGGAGAGGCTGAGACCTGGCTTGGGAAGGCAACAGGAGCGGAAAGTGAAATTGGTGGGAAATGAGTGGGAACGGGGGAAAAAAACCAGCGAGAGCAAGGCAGGAGTGCAGAGCCCAGGAGGGACAGGATGGAGAAGCTGCACACCAGGCGTAAGGAAACAGAGCAGGAGTGTGAAGGGAGAATAAACCTCACCAAACCCAGGATAGGGTATTAAACCCCCTCAAAACCACAAGATGTTGATGAAAAGCTAACACCAAGCAGGGCTGATGCACTCCCACACCAAGCTTGCTTTCCCCATGCAAATGCAGGGGCAGTTTGTCCCAGCTGGCCATCGGCAGATGTTCCCCACGTCTTGCCCCTGCACACCCACACCGTGCCGGTCAGGATCTGTGCGTTCGCCCCGGGAACATGGCCTTCCACCTGAGCTGGGCTTTCTGCGGCTTCAGCCCCGGCATCTCTGCCCCAGGCAGCTTCTCCTGCCCTCCTGCACCTGCCCGGCTCCTGCTTGGGGGACTCGCCATCCTCTCACCTTCCAAGCCACCTCTGGGTTTCGAGCCCTGCCCGTCAGAGAAGGGGTTTGATGGAACAAGCATGTAATTTAGCAAAACTGCTCTGCGGAGGTAGCCAAGGATCCCGCAGGAGGTGTGTATCAGCATCTTCAAAGAGGCAACAAAATTATCAGGGGGAGAGCGAGACAAGTCAGGCTCAATTTCTACAAGGCACCTGATTCTGTGTCATATGTTAGGCACCCACCCAAAGCCGGAGCACATGGTGTTGTACGAGAAGAGGAGCCAATTAAATTGATTAAAAATTGGCTGGAGTGCCAGAACACGAGCGAAGCTGCCAATCGGAAGAAGTGGATGCAGGCAGAGAGGCGTCAGCACATCCACGCAGCCTTATAAGGAATTTTTTTTTCCCCATCTTGAACATAAGTAACCTCAGAAAGGGCTCTCCTTGGAGAGCCCCAAAGCTGAAAGGGTTAATTTTATATTCAATTTGGTCTCTAGGAACGACTACGGGATGGTTCGATGCACAATTAACCTGCCATTGCGGGGACCGGCTGGGTACCTCCAGGACTGCATCGAGCCCTGCGCGCCCACGTGCTGCTCTGTTTATGCTGCTGCATAACACATCTCTCTTGCGAGCGTAACGGCTTACAGCATCAATTCATCTTCGGTTCGTGTTTTGTAAGCAGAGCTTTCCTCTGAAGTATGGCAAAGTTTACACTGGCTAGCATCAACAGCAGAAGACAGAAGATAATGCAAGCTCTGGCTGGGCTGGATTTACGGCCTCCCGCAGGTGATTTACACAGCCCGGGCCAGATCTTTAAACTACCGACGGGGTTCAGCCACGGGTCTGCACCCAAACCCGTCCCCGCTCGGAGGATCTGGGACCTCGGATCACCTTTGAAGATTTCCAAACTGCTCCAAAGAATCACACTCTTTTGCTGAGAACTGAAGGGGTTTTTCTCCCTTTTGCAGCTGTCCGGGTTTTAATTGCCCTTTTGATTGTTCACACACCTCGGCCCCCTCAGCTCTCCCAACCTGGCTTCTGCTTCCCGAAGGGGCGGATGCCAACAGCTCACCCGGGTGATGCTCTGGCACGGCGTCCACTCGCGTCCTCCAGGACCGGGAGCTTGGCGGCTCAGGGATGGGTTCGGATGAAACTCGCCTGCACCCTCCCCTGCTTCCCCTCCCCAAAACGGGGGATCCCCACGCATCGCACCCCTCCTCTCCGGGCCAGCTCGGGCAGCTCTGTCTCTCCCCTGCCTTGGGGACCCGCACCCCGCCGCCTCCCGCAGCCCGTCCTCCCCAGCCCCGCGGGAGCTCCAGCGATGACGCTGATGCTTTTGACTCCTTCCTCACGTGCCACGCGCCGGGTCCCTCAGGCCAGATGCTCACGGTCCATTACCCAGGGTGTTAACTGCTCCGTCGGGCAGGCGAAAGCACTTAGAGGTTTCCTCGCCCCTGTCCCCATCTGGCGCAG